CACCCCTTGCAGATATAACCTTTCAGTGGGAAACTCCAGCTGCCTTCTCCTCCCACCCACGTTCCTGGTCACATCCCTGTCTCACACTTTTGGAGCCATCCCTGGGCTAGTCCTCTCCCCTGTCATGCAGCCTCGGTGCCAGGAGACTCACCTTGGTCTAGGAAAGCCAAGAGGATGAAGAGGATGACGGGTGCTTTCATGGTGCGGAGGAGAGAGCCGGAGGCACTGGACACAGGTCTCTTGACTTCTTGGTGGATGCAGAACAACTCTGCCCTGCACGGCTGCTCTCAGAGGACACCGCAAGTGCTGTTTTGAGAAGTGAGAAAAAAATGAGCTTGTGTCATGCATCCGGCCGGGATCCCAATGCAGAAACAGCAGAGAACGACACTGCATCCTTGACCCGGGAAAGTATGACTTCCAACACTTCTTTATCGCGGCACCCACACAGCAACTCCTCCAGTCTGGTATCAACAAAGCCTTATTTGTAACCCCCAGACTGTACAGGCTTCCTCTAAAAATACATATCTGACCTGACAGGCGAGATAAGAGCTGCACAGCACTGGTCTTTGGTCAGCTGAACCTCGGACCCCTTGCTGGGCGCTTGATCTTCCTTGGTGTCTTCTGACCCAATTTCCACAGGCAAAAAACACAGCAGCTTCCTCTGTCTCCACACAGGATCCTAGCACATCTGCACATTCAATATTTCTCCTTTTATACTTCCACTTTTGCAGCCTTTCCATCAACAGGGCCAGTTATATTTCAAGCTTATATTTTTACCATATGTAGATTTTAAGACCAAATTTCCATGGAAGTTGCTGCACTTGCTGACTTGGCATTTCAATTTTAGCACCCTACTTCCATCCTGAGCTAGGACTTGCTCAAAACCTTAGCATAACTCAGTCGTATGTGGCAGCACAAGCTTTGGCAATGCCGGTGTCCTCCCGCCTGGGCCCTGTGACTCTGCCTGGGGCCTGCTCTAGAGAAACCACTGGCTCAGAGGACACCATACTTTCACTCCACAAGTCCTTTCAGAGGCCTCCTGCTCTTCATTGTGCCTGTGGAAGATGTGCCATTAGAGCCCAGATCCTTCACACAAAGACCCTCCCTGGCACTCAGCTTCCCAGGACCGAAAGAAAGGAGCCACAGAAATCCCTGCAGCTGCTGTTGTCCAGCTCCACCAGCCTTAGCGAGCACCCACTGCCGAGGCCTCCGCGCCACGTGTGAGCCACGGCGCTGTGCTCACCGCAGCACCCTGACACCGTGTTGACTTGACACGCGCCAGATCAACACTCGGGGTCTCAATATTGCACTGTTAGACAGGAGGTGTGATGGAAAAGTATACACACACACACGACACATACACCACTAGGAGATCACATACACAAACACGCACTTTTTGTGGCTCTGTGTCAACACTAGGGGGAATTTGGGGTTTGGGGTTACTTGAGGTCAAAGTGTCTCAGGGTTACTCAGGGTCATGACGTCCTGGGGTTGCCCAGGGTCAAGATGCCCCCAGGTTACTCTGGGTCATTCATTGCCCCAGGGTTACTCAGGGTCACCTGGTGCTGGAGTGGAAGTGAGGGAAAAACCTGGGGCCAGAGAAAGCACAGCGAGCGGTGGAGCCGGGGTAAAGGGGCGGTGCGGCGGAAGTCAGGAGTGGTGAAAGCCAGGGTTTAGAGGAGAGCAGAGCCGTGGTTTTGGAGGTGGCGGGGGGAGCCAAGGTGGCAGAGAGAGAGGGAGGAAGAGAGAGGCAGAACGAAGGTCAGAGGGGCAGGCACAGAGGTTGGAGCAGGGCCAGGAGGTCGGTAAGACAGAACCCCAATTCCAGTTTCCAAAATAACAGGTTAATTAAACAGGCAACACACGACGCAGCCCCATGAAGTTATTGGTTCCCACACACCTGCACAAGCACTCTCCCACACAATGCTAGCAGGAGAGGAAAGGCTGAATGGAGGGATTTGAGGTCCAGGTATGGAGAGACAGAGTCCAGGTCCCTTGCTTGGGGGAAGAAGGTGGGTGGTAGCTACCTATCCCAGGCTGAGAGTACATCCTTGATGGCCAGTCGGAGTCTTCTCCAGCAAAGTCTTGTTCAGAGCGGGTTGCCGGCATGGCCTCTGGGTGGATAGGTGTCGTGGCATAGTGGGGTGGGCTACCTGTGACTGCAATGGGAAGGACATGTCCAGGCACGGTCAGTCCTGCTTGGAGGCCTACGTGCGGATCCAGGTGTCCTGGACGAATACAAAGGTGGGGTTGCTGGTTCCTCTGGTGTCTTTATCTTTCAACTATGGAGTTCCTGTACGTGCTTTACCTTTCAAATGCTGGGTTTCGCCTCTGTGCCTGGGTGAGGTCTGTGGCTCCTCGCTGAGTCAATGCGAGGCCATGGTTGGGTCATTGAGTTGATGGTCCGGTCGTTAATGGTCCTTCAGTAGAGACCTGCTACCATTATGCCTCGAGCACCCCCCATTCACTCCCATTCATTCAGGAACCAGTTTACAAGAGAGTGGTTAGACATGAGTCGCAGTTACAACATGCTGTACAGTGGGTTATGCCCGGGCAGGGGACACGAGATGGAGGCTTGACATACAAAAAGGAAACTAGTCATTACTTTAGAGACACTGGCCTAAATCATACAGTATTCATATGAAATGATAAAAATCAATACCAAAAATGATAGGAATAAAACCCAATAAAATATAAAACCATAAAACTCAATACAAACATAACAGAACACTATTTACAATATAAAAAGGAGCTTATTACTATAACAGCAGACAAGAACTTAGCGTAGCTTACCTATGACTACTTATAATTACTTATAAGGGATAGCGCGGGCAGAGAGAGTCAGAAAAGGTGGGGATGAGGAGGGAATGTATTTTGAACTCTTTTAAAAAGAAAGGAAAACCTGGCGGTTTTGCTACAGCTGCAGGCCCAGCACTGACCCCCGTGCAAGAGCCCGTCCTGCTGAGTGACAGGCGCCGTGTGCTGCGGCCCGGGTCTGGCACCTGGAGGTTTCCCAGACCAGCCCGCGGCTGCAACTCCAACCCTGAAGCTGGCCAGGCATTTTTTCCTGCCTTGAATTTATGTTGTGTCAGCCCCACGCCCACCCTCTAAGTAATCCTTCCCTTTCTGATTTCCTTCCCTTTTATCAAAGCAGCTGATTGAGATCTCCTCCCCGCCCCCCACGGCTACTGGGGATGTGCGAGGGAGAGGAGCGCCCATATCTTTGGGAAGGGAGGACCTGTCTGACGGGACGTCAGGGCCTCGTGCTTCAGGGCGGAGGCTCATCACCTGCTGGCCGTGCACGCAGCCGCTCTCTTGTGCTGTGAGCCCGGTGCGTTCAATGCAGGAACGAGGGCTTGCTCCAGAGCCGGGCTGCCCAGAGGTCTCCAGCTCCTGGACACATGAGAGCGGGAGAAGGGACCTTGCAACGGACCAATGACAGGTCCCTCTGCTTCCAATGCTGAAGGGTGCTGAGAGCCAAGGAGAGGAGCCAGAGATCGTGCCCCAGGTAACACGGCCGTGGGGACATCAGGTCCCTCAACATCCCATCCCTGGTGGCCACAGTGTGTTACATAGAGCTCAGTGGGCCAAACCCACCCTCTTCAGTCAGTGCTTGGAGACGGCAACTCCTGGTCTTCCCCGTGCCAGGACCCCCTCTCTCCCTGGCTTGGGCACTGCGCTTTCTGCTGTAACTTTGGTCTCTTAAGGCCTCTCTTTGCTGATGGGCAGCTAAGTATGATCCTATTCCATCTTGGCTCTTACCAGTGCCCACGTCACTGATGTGCCAGCTCGGCCCTGCTGCCATCCAGCGGCGAGGCACTAATACAGCCTACTTGGGCAGCTGTCCTGGGAGGGCTGGTTGTCTGTCTGCTCTGGATCCCAGTGTAAGTAACTATGGAAATGTCACGGGGAGAACAGGGTCATCACACACAGTGGCCGGGGTTACTTCCTGCCTAGGGTCCATTCAGACAACTTGCCTTTAAACCCAGGGTCCCAGGGCTGGGAGAGGGCTGCAGGATGTCCCACAGTCGGGGGGCTGCACCTGGAAAGCCGTGACCCTGACCAGGATCCTGACAAATGTGATGGGCTAGCTGGCAGTGACTTAGCCCAGGGGTTTTGAAAGGGCAAATGATGATTGGAGGACTTGGGATTCCCTTTCCTCACCAATCAGGCCCTGGAGGCTCGCCCCTCATGTCCCCTGATTGGCCCCGTGGGTCACCTGGAGGGGGATAAAAGGGGCAGCAGAGCTGACTCAGTTAAACAGGCAACACACGACGCAGCCCCATGAAGTTATTGGTTCCCACACACCTGCACAAGCACTCTCCCACACAATGCTAGCAGGAGAGGAAAGGCTGAATGGAGGGATTTGAGGTCCAGGTATGGAGAGACAGAGTCCAGGTCCCTTGCTTGGGGGAAGAAGGTGGGTGGTAGCTACCTATCCCAGGCTGAGAGTACATCCTTGATGGCCAGTCGGAGTCTTCTCCAGCAAAGTCTTGTTCAGAGCGGGTTGCCGGCATGGCCTCTGGGTGGATAGGTGTCGTGGCATAGTGGGGTGGGCTACCTGTGACTGCAATGGGAAGGACATGTCCAGGCACGGTCAGTCCTGCTTGGAGGCCTACGTGCGGATCCAGGTGTCCTGGACGAATACAAAGGTGGGGTTGCTGGTTCCTCTGGTGTCTTTATCTTTCAACTATGGAGTTCCTGTACGTGCTTTACCTTTCAAATGCTGGGTTTCGCCTCTGTGCCTGGGTGAGGTCTGTGGCTCCTCGCTGAGTCAATGCGAGGCCATGGTTGGGTCATTGAGTTGATGGTCCGGTCGTTAATGGTCCTTCAGTAGAGACCTGCTACCATTATGCCTCGAGCACCCCCCATTCACTCCCATTCATTCAGGAACCAGTTTACAAGAGAGTGGTTAGACATGAGTCGCAGTTACAACATGCTGTACAGTGGGTTATGCCCGGGCAGGGGACACGAGATGGAGGCTTGACATACAAAAAGGAAACTAGTCATTACTTTAGAGACACTGGCCTAAATCATACAGTATTCATATGAAATGATAAAAATCAATACCAAAAATGATAGGAATAAAACCCAATAAAATATAAAACCATAAAACTCAATACAAACATAACAGAACACTATTTACAATATAAAAAGGAGCTTATTACTATAACAGCAGACAAGAACTTAGCGTAGCTTACCTATGACTACTTATAATTACTTATAAGGGATAGCGCGGGCAGAGAGAGTCAGAAAAGGTGGGGATGAGGAGGGAATGTATTTTGAACTCTTTTAAAAAGAAAGGAAAACCTGGCGGTTTTGCTACAGCTGCAGGCCCAGCACTGACCCCCGTGCAAGAGCCCGTCCTGCTGAGTGACAGGCGCCGTGTGCTGCGGCCCGGGTCTGGCACCTGGAGGTTTCCCAGCCCAGCCCGCGGCTGCAACTCCAACCCTGAAGCTGGCCAGGCATTTTTTCCTGCCTTGAATTTATGTTGTGTCAGCCCCACGCCCACCCTCTAAGTAATCCTTCCCTTTCTGATTTCCTTCCCTTTTATCAAAGCAGCTGATTGAGATCTCCTCCCCGCCCCCCACGGCTACTGGGGATGTGCGAGGGAGAGGAGCGCCCATCTGTTTGGGAAGGGAGGACCTGTCTGACGGGACGTCAGGGCCTCGTGCTTCAGGGCGGAGGCT